GACAGGTCTCAAGGATAATTTGGAGAAGGTACAGAGGTGGAAGCATGCCCTACATAAAGCTGCCGGTATAGCAGGACTGGATGTTCGTAAAACTGCCAATGGGTGAGTACTGAGTAGTAAAAGAACCCTTAAGTTTTCACTTATTTATTGGGTCACCTTTTCATCATATTATGTGAAATGTTATGTGAAGTATCAATATGAAGCGATGCTTCCTAGAATATCATGAAAAACATAAAGGGTCAAATTTTATATAATTTCTGGTAAGTGAAAACAAAAAGGACAAATTCCAAAACTTCAACTCTAATTGAGTTTCAAGAGATGTCTTCTTTTTTTTACTGATAGGAAGTAAATCCCTTTCCTACTTTAAAAGGTTAAATTACTGGTAAAGAAAATGAGAAATGGACCTAAGTACTTCAAAGCTAATTGCCTAATTCATGAGATGGAGATTGTCAAAGACCATATAAGGAGACATCAATCGATTCCCTCAATTAACACCCCTAGCACACTCAAGACTTAACATCTAGAGCATGAACAACATATCATGGGGGCGTATCACTGGATAAATCTGGAATAAGGATGAACTTATCTCTAATACCATGTTGATACCATGTTAAAACAAATGGAGCTTGGGCTTAACTCATTCCAGAAAATTAGCTCATAAACCGAGGATCATCCACGACCATAACAACACATTCATTGAAACAATGTGGGACATTCTAATAATTAATTTATGAGAATACCGTTCAGCTGGATACCCAAATCAAAGCGTTTTTGGCTACAATACACCTTAGATGAATTGTCTACAGATCTTTTGCCCAATGAGGGGTTTGGTGTGGAGGGAATCTAGGAGAGAGGAGCAGAATCATGTGAAGGTAATATGATTCAGGTTACAAGTATGCTTCTATGTTTTAGTTCTGAATGTCAAACTTTATATGTGTGATTTGCATGTCATTTAGGCTCATGAGATATGTCTACACTCTGTTTAAATTCAAGCAACAGCTATCCATACATATAACTGTTAGAGTAATTAAGTAAAATACTTCAATGCTCTCTTCTTTGGGTCCTAAAAATACTAAGGTGCTAACATAATAGTTTTACTAAGATTGTAACGCTGAAACTCGTTCAAAGTAGTAATTAATATAGCATGGTCAATAATGTATACCCTTTCATATTAAATCAAATATAACGAATTTTATATATTTTGTCAGTTGTTGTTGTTGTTGTTGTCAGTCTAGAGCAGAAATCATTTAATTTCTTGTAAATCAGGTTGATATACTAAGAGGTCTTTAAGTTTCAGTGGAAGGGTGGTGTAAATGACTTTGTTAGACCTGTGCTTAATAGGAAGAAGAGGTGCTACTGCAGTAGTATGAATTATAGACTTTACATGTACGCTTTTCCTTTCATTATGCTTGATTGCACATTTGTAAAAATATAAAAAGCAACTAACGGAATGTGGTTCCATTTTAATAGGGCAGTAGTTAGCATTAAAGACATACTTTTTTGAATAGTAAGAAATTTAAACTCCGGATTAACCATACAAAACCTGTGATAAGGATCAAGGCATTGCTTTAAAGTGTAAAATCAGGTATTGAGATCCATATAATTTACTAGACAAGTTGATTCTAAAAAAATATTGAAAGAGCTGAACTCCTAAAAATCTGACCTCCCTCTGTTGCATCTCCCTCCTCTTTCTCTCTGGACTCTTCTTCTCTTCCTATTTGACAACCTTAGAAAGTTGATATCTTCATCCCTGCCCCTCTTTTTGTCCCACTGAACAGTTCCATCACCATCCCTTTTTCCTTTTCCTCTTTTGAGTAAACTAGTAAATCATAGTGATCTTGTATGTTATCTGGATGGATTTCGTGTGACATAGGTTGTTCATTCTTTGTGGTTCAAGTAGATTGTAGTGAAGTGACTTTACTGATATTTCTAGCAACAATGAAATCGATTTGTTTGGTGATTAAATCTAGAGCAAGAAATGCATCTCAGAATAAATAAAAGGAGAAGAGACTCTGATATCATCCAGAGATCGTGGGTGTTAAATCTAATTTGAATTTAACTTCTATAAATTGGTTTGAATTGTAGGGAGACCTATTATTATTTAAAACAGTAAAAATGAAATTCCTTCACACTAAGAATTCCATTGGGTTCACTACAACTAAATGTATTAAGCACAATTAGAGTCTCATTAGGTGATATCTGATCTTGAGATAACACTTCCTGATCCAATCTCTCGATTATAGACTAGCCTACCATCATTAAACGGTCCTAACCATTATTCTATATGGATTCGTCAAATTAAAGTCTGCAAAAGCAAATTCAACCTTAAGCGATTAGAAGGCTAGCGTAATAGCTAAAGGAAAAGGGCATTAGGACCTACCCAGCTTTGATTTACTACAGTGCTGTGTACTATATCCACTAAAGTCGCTGAATCCCTAATTAGTTTCTTATTGAATTGGGGTCTAGGTTGTCATATCCCATTTCCAACTCCAGCTTTCATATCTTGAATCAAATTAGGGTCTAAAAACTTCACCTAAGTAGAGCCCAAATGAAATTGACTAACACTAATGTAAAGCTGGACAAGTAATTAAATACCTAATAAGAATCAGTGTAGTAACTTAGATACTAAGGAATTAACTAATACACCATTAAAAATACAAATTCCACGGTTAACAATGAAGTAAAAGAGAAGAAACTGCAAATTAAATGTCCCAAGCTTGGAAACCTCTTCAATATACACTCTCAGCTCTCAAGTACAATTACGTAATCACGTCACTGCCTTTGCTACCTGGGACATTTTTTCTCATCAGTCCTCATGCAATGCGTCACTTTCTCTTCTGGTGTATCATCAGATATCAGTCACATCTTCAATTGTTCTGGCTTCTTATGCGCCACAACACAATCCTATCTATCCAGACTCATTTCTGATCTTCTTATGTTCTGACATGGCACCTCAACATAGTTTGTTGCAACACCTCGTATGGAAGTGATTAAAGTTTCTGTGTCTTCATTTCACATAGCGCCTCATAATTCCTCTAATCCGTTGCTTCACGGATACTGCATACTTTGTAGAGTTCTGACTACTTTTACTAACTTCCACTATGATGTACCAAATGCTCTGGAATGTGTGCCTCTCTTTGACTTCACATGGGACACTAAATTTGTCTTCTCTCTGCGGCTAATCTTTCTTTCTAAGCTCTTTCCTTCCTTGAACCTCACATTCATAATAAGTAAATATTTGCACGATGACATTCTTCAAGACCATGAACTTAAGCATAAGAAACTATAGTTATGATCTAAAAGAACTATATTATCCCAAATTGTCATGATTCCTCTTCTAAAATCCTTGAGATTGTGTTTGTCTTCCTCGGATAAGTCAAATTGCTGAACTTCCCTGTAGCCGTACTTAACCATTTTTTCACTCTCATAGCTGTTTAGGATTGAGGCGTTTATTCATTTATTGAAAATGGTGGAAAAACTCTAAAAACAGAAAACAAAATACTCCATCCATGAATGAATTGATAGTCAAGTTTTAGCTAGAGCCTTGAAAATATTCCTGTTTCAAGCTCTGGCTGCACCTAGAGGTCGCACAGGCTTCATTCAGATATTGTATTAGCCGCGTTTAAGCGCCCAGAACTTTGCTTGATTCAACTCATTTGAACCCCTATGGTTAATAATCATTCAAATCTGAAATAGGTTAGAACATAAACTATTAGTAAGGTAGGTTTATTGAACTTCACCTCAAGCTTCTTTGTCAAAGTTAAGAAGGAAAAAAAAAACTGTCCCAATTATAAACCAGTCCCCATTCTTTCTTCACTGCTTCTGTAACAGACACTATTTTCTTATATTTTGGAGTTATCTTGTTGTGTGCATTTTCTTTTATTTTTCAAGATTTAAAGCGTACCACAAAACATCTTGATTTTCATAATAAAATGATTTTTTTCAGTTCATGAGCATCTATCTGAATTCAATTAATTATATTCATAAAAAAAGGAGTATGAATTATAATGTCTGGGTACCATAAGATCTGTCATTGATGAAAATCTAGTTGGAATTAAATCTTGTTTGGGCGAAAAGTGATCTTTGCTGAAAAAGGGAATGGAAGTGTTCATTTAGAGTGATAATGGAAATGGATTGCGTAGAGAAAACAACTATTGCAAGAGAACTGTTAACTAGATTTCTTGTGAATTAATCCTATTTCCTTGCTCATATTAGACAAGTTCTAGAGAAGCACTGGATGGAATATGGGCTGCTTTTGGCTTCTTTAGTTTTTTTGTTTCAAAAATTTTCATTCTTATTATTATAGTTTTACTTATTGTAGGAATGAAGCAGAATCTATCGACAAGATTATAAATGATAACTTCCAAATCATGCACCATAGTGTTTCAGCTACTGAAAAATGTCTAGTGGGAATCGAATCTCGTATGGGTGAAGTAGAATCGTTATTTAAGGTTAGATCAGGTGATGTCTGTTTTGTTGGAATATGGGGGATCGGTGGCATTGGCAAGACAACTGTTGCAAGAACTTTTTTTGACAAGATTTCGTGTCAATTTCAAGGGTCTTGTTTTCTTGCAAATGTCAGAGAAGAATCAAAGAAGCATGGGCTGACGTACTTGCAAGATACACTTCTTTCAAGAATCTTAAATGAAAAAAGAATGAATATAGCAAGTTTTTATGAAGGAGCTGACATGATAAAAAGAAGGCTTTGCCACTGGAAAGTTTTAATTGTTTTTGATGATGTCGATGATGAACATCAATTGGAATATTTAGTTGGAAATCATGACTGGTTTGGTGAAGGCAGTATAATCATTACAACAACTAGAAACCAAGATTTACTACGTAGTCATGACCAGTTATATTCTGTTCCTGAATTGGCTAAAGACAAGGCTATTGAAGTTTTTAGTTGGCACGCTTTTCAGAAACAAACTCCTGATAAAGAGTTTTTGGAACTCTCCAAATCTGTTGTAGATTATGCTAAAGGCTTACCTTTAGCTCTTAAGGTCTTGGGTTCTTTTCTCTACAAACGAGGTGTAACTGAGTGGAGAAGTGCAATAGATAGACTAAGAGATACTGGATATGAAAAAATTGTTAAGCAGCTCAGTTTAAGTCTAGACGGATTGAACCATGAGGAGAAGAATGTATTTCTTGATATTGCATGCTTCTTTAGAGGAAGAAAGAAAGATGATGTGATAACAATACTGAACAGTTTTGGCTTCCGATCAGAGATTGGAATTGATGTCCTCATCCAAAAATCACTTTTATATATTTCAGAAGGAAATGTTGAGATGCATGATTTGATAGAACAAATGGGTCAGCAAGTGGCACGTAATGTGGACCATGACAAGCCATGGAAGCACAGTAGACTGTGGCATGAACAAGATATAAAAACTGTTTTTTCTGCAGATCAGGTAAGAATTCCTCTATGCTGGAGATTTCCGTTCTCTCTCTGTCATTATGTGGCCTTCATTGGGTTAGATATCTGCGTTTGGACAAACTTTAGCACTAGTACACTTTTCTCAATCTAAACTACAAGTCATGGGATAGTTTCTTAATTAATTAGTTGCAATGTCTCAGCAAGTATATCCTTGTGGCTTTGCATATTCACTTCCATAGTACTTGGCACACAAGGATGTCTCATGTAGCTTACAATTGGGAAAGGTTAGTTGCATGTTATGTTTTGTAAATTACTATATGTGCCTTCTGAAGATTTTAACTAGAGTAGCTTATCCAATGTCCATTTAATGGAATTTTAGTATAGTTAGGCATAATACATAAATATATCCCTTAACTTGGTCTCATTTCCATTTATGCCTTCCAACTTTGGATGTGCACAAATAGGCACTTAAACTTGTATAAAGTTGAACAACTAGAAACATGAATCCTATTTGGCATAATACATGTAGGACACCACATAGGATGCAAATTGCCATGTAGGACGTGTGTGTCTATTTGTTCAACTTTATACAAATTTAAGTGTCTACTTGTGCATACTTAAAATTGAAGGGCATAAACATGAAATGAGGCCAACTTAAAGAGCATATACGAACTCTAGCATAACAAATCACCACCTTCTCCCCTCAATCTCTTTAAACAAGAAAAAAAAAGATTTGGAGAATTAGTTGCTTCATTATTCCCTTGAGCTATTGGGCATTTACATAACATCTCACCATATTGACAAAAAACCTAGACAAAGGCAGATGGTAATGAGTAAATAGAGTACTCCCTTTGCTCAATTTATGTGATACCGTTCAGATTCTGAGAGTCAATTTTTTTGTTTGACCATGAATTCTTTGAGTTTTTTAAAATGAATATATTTAATTAGGCCTTCTGTTAATTTGTATTTAGATTAATCAAATTCTTACTTAAACTATTAGCATCTATATATGTGTGTGTGTGCGCGCGCACAATTAAGTATTTTGGTATGTTACCAAAAGTTTTTAAAATGCTTACCAAATATTATGGTGTCGGTACGATTATTCTGTATTTATCAAAGTATGTGTCACGACCCAATTTCTCAAGTCATGATGGCACCTACTATAACCCACCAGTAGGTAAGCCAACCCGTAATCCGGAACAAGTAATGGGTCTGAGGGTAGAAACTAAACAAGAGTAGACAAATAACAATATACACAGGTGGAAGCAAACCAAAACATAAATACAAATAAAGATCCCTCCCAGAACCTGGAAGTCACTAGTACAGAGCTACTAACAAAATGAGTACAAGTCCCAAAAGTGGACAACAGAGACTGGGCTGTCTCGAAAGGTAAAAGACAAGTCTATATATACAGATGGAGACTGAAATAGTACAAAACATCGTGTGCTCACTCCCGTCTCCGGATCAGTCTGCTCCAAGCTCGATCAACGCTGGCTACTAGTGCCCGGACCTGCATCACGAAATAGATGCAGAGCGTAGCATGAGTACCAAAACAACATGTACCCAGTAGGCATCATAGGCCGACTGAACTTGAAAAGTAAAGGCAATATGAAAAGAAGGAATAATATAAACCGAGGGTCAAGAGCGAAAATCTAAGTAACAATGGAATGCACACGAGTGTAGAAAGAACTAACTAAAGTAATCTATAAGCTAACTACACCTAACTGGACCCCCATAAGCCCAGAAGGTACACTCGTGCGCAAGTTAAATAAAAACGCGAACGGACCCCCATAAGCCCGACGAGTACACAGAATAACAATAACTAAAGAGAATTGCATATGAGAACCCAAGAACGAAGAACATCGAACCAAAACCTCAACCCTAATTAGTAGAATCTGACAGTACGGAGGTCGGACCTCGAACCGGATGCTCACCAGAAGTACCCAAGTAACCAATCACAAGTAACAAGTATAAGAGGCCGGAACTCTAACCGAATGCTCTATATAGGTATCTGAGCAATAGAGGCCGGACCTTAAACCGGATGCTCTATATAAGTATCTGGGCAATAGAGGCCGGACCTTAAACCGGATGCTCTATAAAGGTGTCAATGTAGCTGCTGAAAGAGTCCTAATCGATCCACACTCATAAATGTCCGTGGAACGCCTTCCATACTTAGCCAATCAATGTAAGTCCTTGGAACCAAATCGAAAATCAAATTCAAATCGCGAAGTAGAATTAGTGTCGCCGACGTAACTCGTGAAGTCGTAACATCGGGGAAAATAAGGATAACTAAAGTCGGAGCAAGCGTATCACCTAGCTAAGGCCCAATCTATCAGACTCAAGTCTGTTACACCAGTCTACAGGGAACTAAGTCGACCGAGCGGCGTCGGGGCAAAACTAAGGCCTATCGGATCCGAATCATGTATTTCTAAGGCAAGCCCTAGTCAAACCTAAACTAAGCCCCAAATGCTTCAAATAGACAAGAATTAAGCATGCAAGCACCCCACATAGCGAGGAGGGTCCATTAATAACACAAAACATGTTCACAGTTACCCGATAATTCCCGAAATAGGCCGAAAACATGATTTCTTAACACCTATGCAGGATTCAATAACTACCCAACCCAAATCCCAACTAATCAACATGCATTCACATTCTCGAGCTCAATCTAAGAGAGGGAAACTGTAGCCTACCTGTAGGCCGATCACACGCGCTCCAAAATCACTCATTCGGAGCTTTCCCTTTTCGAACGGTCTCGAAACGCTGCCCCGCTATCAAAAATAGAGTCACAACGTTAATACGGTCGTTTAGACACCAAAATCACAACAAACGGAGGCAGGTCAATTTTGGAGTCAAAACGGGAATCGTGGGACCCGTGCAGGAAATTCCGAAATTAACCCCAAAAGTGGGTCCTAACCAGTTCCCCCAGCTCATGTCCCAAAATGGGATACAATTCGGGGCTCGGGAACAACACAATATCAACATGCAACTAAAACCCAAATTTTCTCAAAAATTAGAACTGGGACAGCAGTTGAATCAGTGTATTTACCAGAAACTGAAGGTCTACAGTGAAATGCGACAACACCACGACGTTCTCCTCGAAAAACCACTCAAGATAGCCTCAAAAATCACTGAAATCGGACCTAGAAAGGCTGAGAAAACAAGTCTCAAAATCATCCAAAATCAAGCTCACAAAAAGGGTGTGGCAACAGGTATTTTACGAAAATTACCTCAAACGGGGACTTCAAATCACTATCCGAGATCACCAACGCGTTTTCCTCGAAAAATCTCACAACTTTGCCTTTTGAATCGCCCAAATCGGTTGAGAGATGAGAGAGTTATGAGGGTTTGAAGTTTGGGAAATGTTGCTGATTTTCTGCAATAATTTCCTAAACTTAAAACTCCGATGGGGTGCTCCGATCTCGTTCGGAACCCCGTGCATGCAAACGAAATATGCAACCCTACCAAATTCGACATTCCAGACTCAACGGCGCAGTCGAAATTTCCATCAGAGGTCATTTCGATAAAAAGTGAGTCCCACTTCCAAAAGTCATTTTAAGTCAAAACCCACAAAAGGGCTCGAAAAGATATCGAAAACCTCCAGACACAAAAGAAGGGTCAATCTAGACCAAACTCGACATTCCGGAGCTAACCACGCTGACGGAATTCTCATCCGAGCGCGTTTACTCAGAATGTTGACCAAAGTCAAACTTAGGCTTAAACTTAAAGTTAAAACGCCTAATCGCACCGACTCACACTGAAAACCTCGGGAGTCATGAAGACCATGCTACTAGCCTAAAATGACCCTTCCGGAGCTGATGGAATCGTTAGAATTGGATTCCGATGTCATCTTCTTGAACTTTTGATCGAAAATGATCGTTCAAGGTTCATTAGCTCCAAAACACAAAAACTCGCACCAAGACCAAACGAACGACCAGGTGACCGAACTGTCAGTCCCAGCAAGTCATAAATGACTTGGGGTCGCTATAGGAACGCTCTAAACGACACACAGAAGGCAAGACACAGAAATGACCATGAGGGTCATTACAGTATGCACTCCTATTTATACCTTATACCTCATAAATGTGCTTAATAGACACAATTTGTACAACATGAGAGTTTGTGCCAAGTTCCAGGGATTGCCATCTACTTGTCCTACAGAAGAGTTTCAGGGCAAATTATAACGTGCAACATGATATATATGAATTTCTAGAATTATAAAGAACTTTCTTTTGGAAACTAATGGATAATTATTGTTATTTTTACTAATTTCTTTTGGTTTAATTTAAGAAACATATGAAATTTTCTTTAGACGGTACACTATTTTTAAGAAATTATATTATTACTCTTTGAAACTTCCAGGTTCAATTTATCAGTTTTGGCTTCTTGTTATCAAGATAATTAAATTTAGTGTCTCAAGGAAAAGAACTTCTAATGTAAACACATGTCACATATTACAGAACCTTAAATTGACTGGAGAATGAATTTCTGTTTAATAGAGTTTTTTTTTTTTTTCCAGAGGACAGAATCTATTAAAGGCATAATGGTACCAATTGGCTCAGACCAACATATATGCAAGTGGAGCAAAGCTTTCAGAAACATGCCTTGTCTTAGGTTACTCATTGTCAAAGGGGAGGAGGTCTGGCATCATGACCTTATTTGTGACCCTATTGAGTGTCTCCCCAGTAACTTGAAATGGCTTGATTGGTCATACTACAGTTTTGAATCTTTACCAGCATATTATGAACCAGGAAACCTTGTTGGGCTCCACATGACTTTTAGTTCTCTTGTTGAAGTTGTCAAGGAGCCGAAGGTATTATTTATCTCCTTTAGAAACAAATCATATATGAAGAAAATAAAATGATAGCTAAAGCTGAAGTTTCTATGCATTCTCTTTTTCTGAACAGGCATTTGATAAGTTGACAGTCCTCAATTTTAAGTTTTTCTAGAAATTTAATCCGAACGCCCAATTTTTCCGAGATTCCAAACCTGCAGAGGATTATACTGAAAAGTTGTGTAAGTTTGGTAGAAATTCATCCATCCATTGGCCAGCTCAGAAAGGTTATCTTTTTGAATATGGAAAACTGCAAAAATCTCAAATCTTTACCAAGCAGTATTCAAATGGAATCTCTTGAAATCTTCAATCTCTCAGGTTGTGAGAAGTTAGAAAATTTTCCAGAAATTCAGGGAAATATGGAATTGCTATCAGAGCTCCTTTTGGCACATACTGCAATATGGGAACTTCCCTCATCAGTTGGACTGCTCAGTGGCATTAGCTTGCTTGATTTGCATTCATGTAAAAGCCTTGTAAGACTCCCAGCCAGTGTCTCTGAGATGAGAAAACTGAAAATTTTGAGTGTGAAAGGCTGCTCAAGACTTGCAAACTTTCCTGAAAATCTAGGTGATCTAACCCAGTTGGAGGAGCTCTATGCTGGTAACACTGCCATTTGGCAACTACCAGATTCTCTTCTAAACTTAAGCAAACTTAAAGTCCTATCGTTAAGAAGAAGCCAGAAGGTAAAGCGTCAAACTGGTGGCAGTTTAATGTTACCCCCTTTCTGGGAGTCTCATGATTTGAGGGAATTGAAAAGCTTAGATCTCAGTGGGTGCAATTTATCTGATAACCAAACTGGTGCTCTTATGAATTTTCCTTCTTTACTGGAACTGAATCTGAGCAGAAACAAGTTTATTTCATTACCTGATGTCATTAGTCGACTTTCTCAGCTTCGATATCTCAACATAACCCAGTGTCAGGAACTTAAGAACCTTCCCAAACTTCCTCCGAGTGTAGAGGAATTATATGCGGAAGATTTTTTGGCCAAGCAAAGTATCGAAAAGCTACAAATGTACCCGAGGTTGAATTTGGTGTCATTCACCAATTATAGTTTTGATCAACAATCCTATACAGAGGAGAGCAATGGTAGCTCAGTTTTGGATGAGATTCTCTATTCGTTTCTTTCACGCAACATGGATAATGTGGTCCATCCCTCTCTCAACTCCGATTACAGGGTGACTTGTTCCATCGTCTTTCCTGGATGTGTAATTCCCATGTGGTTTAAGCATCAGAGTGTTGAGGAAAAGATCTTGTTCGAACTGCCTATTAATTGGTATAACGACAAGTTCAAGGGCTTTGCTATATGCTGTGTGACTCGCATGGGAGCAGGTGCCTGCAGTCCTGATTCAGGACTATCTGAGAAGTATGACTATGCTTTCATCAAAACCAAATTGGCATGCAAAGATGATTTAGAAGACCTTAAAGTGGTAGAGAAAGAATGTAAAGTGGGAACAGCATCTAGAACATCTGGCTTGTGTGTTTGCTTTGTCTACATACCATTGTATGCTTCACTGCAGGTGTCCGGCACAGATGTTGGAAATGTTAACCAGTATAGCCTATTTGAGGCATCTATCCATGGGCGCATTGTGAGACAGTGGGGAGTTCATTTGATCTATCAGGATGAAAGAACATTTTTTGCAAAAAAATATGGAAGACTTGGTTTCACAACACTTAAGCGGAAGAGAGGCTAAATTAGCTCTATATGCTGGGATATTGAGGGAATTACCAAGAAACCGAGTTTAAGGTAACTCAATGCCTATTATTATTAAAGTTTAATAATTTGAATTTTGAATACAGTTAGATTAACAATTTAATTTTAATGTGGTTAAGTATTAGATAAATAATGTTGGAAAAGATTAGGCGCTTTACTTAGCATTGATGAATTAATAAGGCAAATCAGTAATTACATTTAAATTATAAGTAACAGGTTTGAAGTCAATCTGATGGCTTAAACGAAAATATAATAGTTACATTTTAAATCACACTATTCTTGAGTTTGTATATTCTCATTTTTGTAGCAACCAATTCGAAATAAACTAGTTGATATATTGACCTTCAAGCGGGAACCTAATTGTAGAGATAGTTGTGTAACAAATCTTCAAAATCTATAGAGTAATAGTACCTCTTCCTTGTTAAATTTACTGAATAATATTACAATTAAGAATTAAATTAATATGAATGTAGTAATAGGTGTTTTAGAAAACTAAAGACTATTAGGCACCACCACAGGTTGTGATAGGGTGGTAAGTACCCCTATATTCTAAACTAGAGCTTTCGAATTCATGCCCTGAGATTTGGTTGGAGGCACTTTACCCCTCAAAATAGGATTTACCTGCACAAATTCGTATTATTCGGGCCCAGAGGCAGTGTCATTTGTTTGAGCTCAAAGAGGAGACGAACATTGAGTAACCCGTCATATATATTTTGTATGTATCAGGTGCATCCTTTTTCTTTTTCATTATTCTTAATGTTTCTCCTCATAAATATTAGTTCTATGTTCTTTCCGATCCTTTAATATTGGGTTTTGATTGCTCAATCAAGCTCTCCGGGATTTTTAAAAATACTTCATCAGTTTCAATTTGTTTGTCTAATCAAGAGTGTACTTTATACTTATCTTAATCTGTGATTTGTAGGATGATCGGAAAAAAAGTTGATGAGTGCACAAGTAGTGTTGTATCTAGACAGATTTGAGAGCAGGGGAATCACTTCTCTGTTAGTCATTGGTCTGACTAATTTGGATTCGTGTTGGATAGAGTTACTAAAGGGGTAAAGCGCTTTCTCCAAAAGGTTCTCTTGCATTCACAACTCTCCGATCCAAAATATTTGGAAAGCGCTACCATATGAGTGAGGAGGTTTGAAAGATGATGAACTATCCTGCTCTGCCACAAACATCATCTCCTCCTCCATCATTACCACCACCTCCTCCTCTACCACCTCCTCCTCTATCGTCACCACCATCACTTTCGCGGACTCTTTCTCCATCTTCTTCGCTTCACTTTCTATCAAAATTAAAGTGTTCTTTAATCAGCTCCTTCAGACTACATTTTAGAATTTTTAGTGTCTATCACTTGTAGCATCATATATTCAAACATGGATTTTCCTATATTGTCTTGCTCTATCCACAAACATCTTTTTAAGTGCTCTTCTAGTACTCAATTGTCAATTTTGATGGGGGCAGTGATCACTAATTCCCTAGTGAAGAAATATGCATAAAAAGGTATTTGATTAAACCATCAATAGTTTATAAGTGTTAACACACATTTGACAGTCTATCACACTATTTTTTTATAAAAAAATTATACACAATATGGGCAATTTTTGAGGCCTTAATAGTTTGGGAGTTTAAGCTACTACTTTACTTATCCTAGGGTAAAGTCGACCCTATTTAATTATGCCATATTTTATTACAATTATAAATATTTAGGATAATTCAGTTTTTTAAAAAAATTAATAAATTATTCTCTTAACTCTTTAGAAAGAAGATGATAACCTAAGTTCATCAATTTTCTTTGACCAAAACAAAAGAAATTATTTTCTATGATTATATTAATACACTTAACAATTAAATATATAATAGACAGTATTACGATTATAAGTAATAATTAAATATAGAGCTCTAATTCTATAAACAATCATAAACTCATTCATTAATTTAGTATAAATTTATGTAGATAAATTTTAATTATTTTTAACCTTTTCACCTATTATTTATGAATTCATTTTCATCCTATCATAACGATAAATGGTTCGTCTCATTGTAACCTTTTCTTGAATCTTTTTTAAAAAAATTGCCACTCCATTTTTGTGGAGTAAATCCAATTATTCAAAAATTATTTCTTTAAAAAGAAATTGACAATTTCTTGAAAAAACTTAAACAACCATAGCTTTTATATTAGTCAAAGCATTTTGTGAATAATTTGATCTATTTATCGAAAATGAAAAAAGAAACTCTATTCAACTAAAAAAAAAAAAAAGTCGAGCTTTTAGCAAAAGAATATTGATCAAATAATATCCTATTTCCCCCAAAATAAAATAACAGAAAAAACCTCACTTCTTTAAAAATAAAAAATAAAAATTGCAGAAAGGGACGCAGAAAACAAGCAGAAACGGGTACGTACAGAAGTGACCCGACAAATCCAATTTGGTATCATTCTTCAACTTTCCATCCTGTCATGGACCTTTTCATAAAATTAGATCAAAATTTCATCTAAGAGTCGATTCAATTCTTCCTACGTCCTTATTGCAAACAACTAAAGCTTCAATTTTTCTTCAAATTCCAGAATCATACTCACTGGGTTTGCAATTTCATGTAGTGGGTCTGGCTGAGCAGCGGCTAAGGGCTTGACCAAGAAAAGGATGTATCAATGGAGGAAGTTTGAATTTTTTGAGGAGAAATTTTCTGGGAAAGTTCCAGAAGATATAGCGGGCAAGATCCAATGTTGTTCCAGCGGTAAAGGAAGGATTGTGTTGGGTTGTGATGACGGCAGTGCTTCGTTATTGGATCGGGGATTGAAGTTCAATTATGGTTTTCAAGCTCACTCTTCATCTGTCCTCTTCCTCCAACAGCTCAAGGTAGAATTTTTTTGAAGTTTCTCAATTGTTAGTACTTACTGACGCACGTTTAGACTATCTGTGTTTTGATATCTCATGTTTAGGTTATGATAAACAGAAATTGGATTAAAACCCAAATGTTGATAATGCAGAATGCACTGACTTTAGCTTTCCTCTTTCTCTGTTAACTAGCAAAGGAACTTCTTAGTGACTGTTGGAGAAGATGAGCAAATAGCTTCCCAGCCCCCAGCTGTTTGCCTTAAAATTTTTGATCTTGACAAGATGGAGCCCGAGGGAACAAGTACATCAAGTCCAGATTGTATTCAAATACTGCGAGTATTCACCAACCAGTTCCCTGAAGCAAAGGTGTATATTAGTATTTATGAGGTTTCTTCTTTCTTATCTACTTGTATGCCTTTTATTTTATTGCGTATCATTCGATTATGTTTTATCAAAAAAAACATATAACTGCAGATCACGTCGTTTTTGGTGCTGGAAGAGGCTCCACCATTATTACTCATAGTTATAGGGCTGGACAATGGTTCCATCTATTGCATTCAAGGAGATATAGCCCGTGAACGCATCAAACGCTTCAAGCTTCAGGTGGATAATCATTCAGACAAAGGTCAATCCTCCGTCACGGGTCTGGGGTTCAGAGTGGATGGTCAGGTGCTTCAGCTGTTTGCTGTTACCCCAAATACAGTGAACTTGTTCAACATGCATACTCAAGCACCTACCCGGCAGACTCTTGATCAGATTGGATCTAGTGTAACTAGTGTTGCAATGACTGATCGATCGGTGT